ACGGTGGTTCAAAGATTAATCTCCCCCCCCCCCCCCCCCTTCTTCTCAGCTGAAGAGATTCAGGGCCTCGCCACACCACTCTTGAAACGGGGAATTTTCTCAAGAGCTGTCAGACGTTCTCAAGAGTTGGGTTTTCAAGAGTTTCCGGCCCCTCGCGACACAGCACTCCTGAAAGGGCGATGGTGTTGGACAACCGATGAAAAGCGACAGTCGTACAGCTTTGTTTTTTCCGAATGGCGTCAGGATAACGACCTGACAACTCTCGAAAATCGAAAGTCCCTCAAGGGGGTTCGGCCGAGGACGCTTGAAAACGCACGAGTTGCAGGCTGGGGTTTCCCATCTTCCGAGAGCTGCTCTTGAAAGGGTTTCAAGAGCTGCTCTGACAGCCCTCGACTGCCCCAAGTTTCGAGAGGCTGTGTGGCTATGCACCAACTCTTGAAAACGAGTTTTCGAGAGTGGTGTGGCGAGGCCCTCAACCTGTGTAGTCGATTCAAACCGTTGCACAATCAGTTGTCATGATATGTCATGCATATAGCTTGCTTTCTGATATCGGAGTTCAAACAGTCAGACAGACGTTCCGGCCGCTTGATGTCAACTGTACGTACTGATGTTTGTAATCATTGGGATGTTGTCACCATCCTACGGGGGAAAAGCTCAGATCGTCAACCATGTGCCAGTTCCAGAACAGGCAAAGCATGGGTGTAGACACTTTCTGGGCCCTTTCCTAAACCTCCGATGTTTTCAGGACGCATATTACCCCTCCTTGCATGAATCTACCTCATCAATGAAATGGGAAAAAGGACACCCCAAACTGGACGGCCAGTCATTGTCACCCGAAAAAAAAAAAAAAAAAAAAAAAAACCGGACGCGCTATGCTAACTTCCAGCGACCTGAACAAAATTTCAACTGCTTCAACTACCAGTCGACCGCACCCTTCAATTTCTTCAAAATTTTGAAACCCTGAAAAGAACAAGGCTTTCGTCATTGCACTGCACATCGCCACCCAAAATGGAAGGCTTCAGAAAAGGACAAGACGTTAATCGAGTGAAGGAGAAAACACAACCCCTGTAAGGGGCAGCCTCCTGCAGCGGGTGTGAACATCGGGCCTCGCTCCACTTCGCTCGAAATGTGCAAAACGAGAGCGAATCTTCCGCTAGAACATGGAAAGATACACCGCCATGATTTTTGTCTTTTGTGCATCTCGAGAAAAGTGGAGCGAGGCCCATCATCAGCCTCCTGGCTGCGAACATCAGCCATCCTCGAAGATCCCGTGTAAGGTCAGCTGACCGCGTTTTGACTTTTGTGTTTTTTGATCTATCGTGTCTGGAGTCTCAGACCGTCGACAGAAACATTTTCAGCATTTTTTCACATTTTTTCACATCCGTCTGTGACTGGTGCGGCAAGGGGCCTCGCTGCACTACTCTCGAAATGTGCAAAACGAGAGTGAGGGTCTCGCTCCACTACTGTCCACTGTACAAAAACGGACAGTCGTACTTCGCTCCACTTACTGTCCACTGTACATGTGCAAAATGGCTTGGACAGTTTTTAGAAACCCCGTCGAAAATCTCCTGTCCGTGAATGTACAGCTCCCAGCCTGCAAAATTCGTTCAGCGGAAAGTCCTTTAAGGGACTCACCGTGAGGACCCGACTTTGGAGAGTGCACCTAGAGTCCGGGCGGGCAAAATCCTTTGGACGCCCTGTCTTGTACTTCTATCACTGCGTCTGGCAGTGTACTCACAAATTTGAGAGGTGGACAGTGGACAGTAAGTGGAGCGATGTCGCATTTTCCACTCTCCGCTGTACAATATTTCGCTCTGACAACTGTCCACCAACTGTCCGAAAAATTGTACAGTGGACAGTAGTGGAGCGAGACCCTGAAGCTTCCCCTAGAACGTGGAAAGATACAGCGACATGATTTTTGTCTTTTGTGCATTTCAAGAGTAGTCCAGGGAGGCCCAAGGCCTCCTACGGTAAGGAATGGGCCCCAACAGGGAGAAAATGGGCCTCGCTCCACTCCACAACACTCTACATGCATTTAGACGCCCTCTAGACCGCATGCATTCCAAGTTTTGGACTCATCCCAATGCACGTGGCCCAGATAGCGTCCAGATGCATGTAGAGTGTTGTATAGTGGAGCGAGGCGCAATGAATGAAGGAACAGCTCCACATCCAGCCAGCTTTGAGATCTGGCAAGTGGGAAGAACAGAAAAGGAAGAGCCCGCAAAGGAAACATGTGGCACGCTGCGGAAGGAAACCCCCCCACTTGACATCCACACGTTTCACCTTCGTTCCGGCTTAGAGCGGAACCGGCCTCACGCTCCGCACAGCACACGAAGCATCGTGGGTTCAATCCCCATTGTCCTCACGTGCCTGGGCAAGCTTGGTGTTCTACCAGCTAGAGATAACCCTTTGGTTCTCCAACCCAGCATTGGCAGGACCTTGGCCAAATATTGTTGGCTGCTATGCAGCAACGATATTCGCCATTAGACACCGCTAATGTGGGGTTGGAGGGGGGTAGGGGGAGGTGCAAGTGACTGGCCAAAGATGCTCGGCACTAGCATCGCCGGTTTCCCCCGCAACGCTGCTGCTAGTGGGAGGAAGCCCCCGGTCAAACTTCGGGTTTGAACTCCAAGGTGAAGAGCGGAGGCTGCTTTTTTTTTTTTTTTCCGATGATGATGATGATGATGATGATGATGATGATGATGATGATGATGATGATGATTAATTTGAAACATAGCTCCATTCTATTTGTGGGGAGCAGCACATGCTGGGAAACGTGCCCAGCGTCCCTTAAAAAGGAAAAATGAGGAATTGGGGCTGGGGTCCCCACGGTCTACCCAGAGGGCCAAGTAATCAGTTACCGAGAGCAGTACTCGGCTCCGCCTGTAGATAACTTAACCGGCTCGAAAACGGGTCCAGCGTCCCATTAATTATCTCAGGGAGGACACTAACCTCTGCCTGTAGAACCTCTCAGCCTGGCGGCTGTCTGATCTGCATTGTTTATCTACTTCCACGGCCGATTTTAGGGCAGCAGCATATCCCCGACAGTCAGACACAGAAGGGAGCCAGAGTGGTCTTCCGCGCGTCTTGGGGCTCGCCACACCACTGTCAAAAGGCAAAAAAAAATTGACGGCTGTCAGAATAAATTCAACAGACTCCTTCGACAGTTTGCTCCCCTTTAGGCCCTCGCTGCACTACTCTCCAAATGTGCAAAATGAGACTCCACTGCTGGAACATGGAAAGATACATTGCCATCTTTTTCGTCTTTTGTGCATGTGGAGAGCAGTGCAGGGAGGCCCTTGTGAATGGACGCACTTGTGAATGCAAGAAAGATGGAAAAGGACGAACGCGGCTGAGGGTACGTCAAGCATTCGAGGCTCGCCACACAGGCTGTCGAAAACCAGGTTTTCGACAATTTTGCATCGCCACACAGACTTTCGAAGAATTGCGGCTCAAAAAACTTTCGACGGGTGTCAGGATGGTACTTTCTACAGCCGCCCTCCAGCAATCATCGTTTCCTCCAGCCTGCAGGTGACGGAAATTCAACAGTGGCCTGCCGACCTTTCGAAAATTGCATTCGAATTTGCGTTGTCAGCGACTGTTCCGTGACACCCGTCCGCTTGGCCATGACGTGAAACCTTGCCCCTCGACAGCCTGTGTGGCGAAGGGGGCGTAAACTGTCGACCACCGACTTTCAAATTTTTTCTGACACCTAAACTCTTTGAGTTCCGATAGCCAGCCTGTGTGGCGAGCTTCTTAGTCGGTCGGGACCTCACGCCCAGTCACCAATTTTTTTCTTTTCTTTTCTTTTCTCTTTCTTTTATATAAAGGGCGACCGTCTCTATATATCATCATTGAGCTGATCGGGCCCAGGCAAATTCAGAAATCTTTGTCTTTTACTCATCAAGTTCCTTCATCTAGGTTCGAACACAGGTCTGTATTTCAACAGTTCAATGGTGTACCCACTGACTCTTGGGTACCCTCAGCAAATTTCGAAGAGGAGTCTATGGCGCAGCCGAGGACTGTCCAAAGCGTCGGAGTAGCAGTAGCAGGAGGCTGGGTGGGGATTCAACAGCTTTCGACAGGAGGTCACGGTGTCGAGTCCAGAAGCATTCTCTGACAGCTCGCGAACTTTAATTTAATTTAATTTTCTTCCCGTCTCCAAGGCCCTAGTTGCACTACTGGCCATCCGCCAAGATTTCGAACGCATCTGGACAAAATTGATGTCCCCATGCAATCACAATGTTGTCGGATGGCCAGTAGCAGTGCAACGAGGCCCCAATTTGGGGCCATCCGCCAAGATTTCGAATGCATCTGGACAAAATGATGTCCACATGCAATCACAATGTTGGCGGATGGCGAGTAGCAGTGCAACGAGGCCCCAATTTTGACCAGGCTGTGTGGCCAAGAGAGAAGCTATCGAAAATCGTGTTTGTGTTCTTTTTTTTTTGTTTTTTTTTTAGTGTTCGTGTTTTCGACAATGGTGTTGCGAGCCCCTTCCCCGCTGCTGCATGTTTTCCGCGCATTCGGTCGGTGTCGCCCCGACCACGGCGCGCAGTTGAGCGGGCGCAAAAGCTTACGCCATGGCCCGCAGGGTGGCGGTTTCTGGGACCGACGGAGGATTCAGAAGCCGGCGCTAGGAGGCGGTTCGCAAGAGGAACGGCACGGCATTTCTTCTTCGACTTCGACTCCCGGTTCCAACTCGGATTCGAAATGCCGGGGCGGTAGGTCCCACTTAGTACACGAATTAAGAGATATTGACCGTAGATAGAACAAATCAACGGTCAGAATCTCGAAATCCGTGCAAGCGGGACATTGCCCCCGATTAGGATTGACGGAGTCGCAGGAGAGATACGAATTGCGGGAAGCCGCGCGCGCCGGAAGTCCGCAGGTCCGGCGGGCTACGCTCGAATCACGGGGGGGAAGGGGGAAGGCGGCGGATTGGGGACGTTGAAATTCCGAGAAAAGCGGATTATTGTTTGGGTGGGTGAGAATTGCGGAGGCGGGAAGCGGCCATCATCTGTGGTCGTGAGCTTGAGCGCTGTGGCCTGCTGCGCGGGCGAGTGAGGAAGGCAAAGGCGTCGGGTGCTACAAGGGAGGGAAGGGGAAGGGGAAGGGGAAGGGGAGGGGAGAGAGGAACGAGGGGCAGGGGGGAGGAGATTGTGATGGCGCCGACAAGAATGGCGGGCGTTTTGCTCGGTGCTTTCGTGACGGCGATGGTCGCAGCGTGTGTCTGCTGTAATGCGCAGGCCACCGCCGGGATCGGGACTCCTGGCACGGTGACTGTGGGTCCCGGCGGGCAGTTTTCCACGGTGCAGGCGGCTCTCAATCAGGCGGCTCCAGGATCGAGGATCGTCATTCTCCCTGGAATCTATCGAGAAAAGGTCACTGTGAGGAAGGCGGGCATCACGATGGTGGGTGTTAATTATAGCTCCATCATAGTCTGGGACGACAGCGCCGGCAGTGCTGGCGGTACTCCGGAGTCTGCCACCGTCACTGTGGAAGAGAGTGCCGCGGGTTTCACCGCCGTTGGCATGACCTTCAAGAATGACTATGGACCAAATGAGCGAGGCACGAATGACCAACAAGCCGTCGCATTGTACGTGCTAGCGGATGCCAGCATCTACAACTGCACGATTGACAGCTGGCAAGACACCCTCATGGCTCACGCTGGAAGGCAGTACTACAAGTTCTGCTTCATTGCCGGGACAGTGGATTTCGCATTCGGCGCGGGCACTGTCTTCTTCGAGGACTGCGTGCTGTACGCGAAGAACAGGACCGACTCCAAGTATGCCACTTACACGGCTCAGCAGCGCACTGACCCCGATGATCGGAGCGGATTCGTGTTCATGAGAGGCCACCTGCAGTGCGGTTTGAATGTGAAAGCGCTCCTAGGACGGGGATGGGGAAAGTACGCGAGAACGATTTTCATAGAGACGCTCATGGAGGACTGCATTCGCCCCGAGGGGTGGGGTGTAATGAAGTCCGTTGGGGCCACTGACACCACGTTCTTTGCGGAGTACAATTGCACGGGGCCGGGATCGGACAGGAGCGCGCGAGTGGCCTGGTCGCGGGTACTCACTCCTGGAGAGGCTGCGTACTTTTCGAATAGAACGTCGGTCCTGGGATGACTGAGTACAATTGCACGGGGCCGGGATCGGACAGACAAAATGTAACACCACAGACAAGTCCAGGCTTTTAGATGGCTTTTGGAGTCTTGGTGGCTATGGCCCGCCCTCAGCGGCCTCTACTCCTCCGATTGCTAAACAGCCGTCTTTTTTTTTGGCTATGTCAATCAAAGTGGGGTTAGCTGTCACCGAGAGAGCTCTCAAATCCCTCTCGTGGGGTCTTAACCCAAGTGAGCTACTATCTATTAATTGCTATCCTTGCCCTTCTCCACGCTCCTCTTCCACTAGAATCCACTACTTCAAATTTGCGGTTTTTTTTTGCCCTCTCAGGGGTGAATGACACCGTCCAAAGGGGAATGCCCGGAATGGAGTTTGCCAACAGCAGAGGACACACGAAACGGCCGACATCAGCGATCGCCGGCTGCGCAGCCATGCGATTCCTTTATTGAACTCTTCACGGTTTGATCAAGATCCACTTCAACTGATGGAGAGAAGTTAGCTCACTCAGGTGCATCGTCAGTCAGCCTTTTGCATGTTTGCTTTCAATTCTCCGTCGATTTATTTGTCTGCGACGCTCCCTAACCTGTCCCTCCTCCTCTCCCCCCCCCCTCTCTCTCTCTTTCTCTCTCTCTCTCTCCCTCGCTCGGTCGCTCGCTCGTACGCGCGCGCGCCCCCCTCCCCCCCTGCTTTTGGTGCCTCTATCTGTCAATTTGTCTGTGTGAGAGACTCAATTCTGTTCGTCTCTGGGTCATCGGCCATGTCCCCCCGTCACAATCTCATTGTGGATCTCTCTAATAATTGGAGATATTAAATAGTTGTTTATATCTGCAGATTTCTCCGATATGATTTTTTCATGTCCTTTTCGGCTCGGTAGTAGAGGGGCGTCAAATAATCTTCTGTAGCACTTCATTCGGCGGTCTTGAGCTTTGCCGCATCTGCTTTCGCGTCATCGTTTTGTCATTCTGGCTACTCAAGAGAGGCTCGGCGCGCAGCACGAAGGCCACTCGAACCTTCTTTGACCTCCGGAGTGGGGCGCCATCGCTCGGGGCGAATCGGTCGCGCCCTGGTCGCTCGGGCGACCGGTCAACGTCCAGTTTCTCATCGATCGCCGCCCGGAATTCCGAGGCGGCGCCCTCAACTCACGGTACCCGGATCGAGTTGCTCGGGTCGTTGCCTGCTCGAGAACGTAATGCTCAATCTGCTGATGGCGCTGCCTGTACAGGCTTATTCAAGGGTGCGCGAGCAGGGTTCCATTTTTGCGTACGAGTAAAAATCTGCAAGTTACTTACAAGAGAAGCGTCGACTGGCGACGTAAATAAAATTGACATACTCTGTGCATAAGCATGCTCTACAAGCTTGAGGCGGAGCCCGAGAGAGCGGGAGTAGCTTCACATTGTGGTTGGACGTAAATAAATTTGACATACTCTGTGCATAAGCATGCTTTACAAGAGCGTGAGGCGGAGCCCGAGAGAGCGGGAGTAGCTTCACATTGTCGTTCAAATAAGCGGTTGGAAAAAAAAAAGAAAAAAAAAAAGTCCTGCGGCCCAGTGCCTCCCTTTCTCTCGGCGTTTTGCTTTCTTCATTCATCTCTGCTTCAGACGCTACGCCAGCTGAGGTTGTCTTCAAGTTGTTATGATTGAGAAAGAAAGATCCGTTAGATTCGATTGCTGAGCTGTCTCAGCTTAGGCGTCTGTGAGAGCGGTAGCGTACTTTTACACAAACGCGTCTTCTATCCCTCTCCTTTTGTGTATCTCTGTGTCAGACTCTCTCTTTGTGCCTCTCTGTGTCCCTCTTTGTGCCTCTCTGTGTCTCTCTGTGTGTGTGTCTTTGTGTCTCTCTTTGTGTCTCTCTTTGTGTCTTTCTGTGTCTCTCTGTGTCTGGCTCTCTGTGTCTCTCTTTGTGCCTCTCTGTGTGTCTTTCTGTGTCTCTATGTGTCTGGCTCTCTGTGTCTCTCGGTGCGCTCTTCTTTGTTCTCTCTCTGTGTCTCTCGGTTCGCCTTCCGTTCTCTCTCTCTTTTGTTGTCACTGTGTCTCTCTGTCACTCTGCCCGTCCTTGTTGCTCTGTTTCTCTGTCTCTGTCTCGTGGGTGTGTGCGCTTGCTTTTCGGTGTCCTTGTTATTTTTCAGCTCCTGCAGATTTATGGGAGAGCAAAGAGAGAGAGAGAGAGAGAGAGAGAGAGAGAGAGAGAGAGAGAGAGAGAGAGAGAGAGAGAGAGAGAGAGAGAGAGATGTTGTCATAGTTGTACTCTCTCTCAGACTGATGTCGCCTGCCTGCCTGTTTTGCAGGCTTATCTTTTATATATTTCTCTATAATAATATCTGGCTACGCCAAATTCTTGTGTGCCGTGAAGTTCTACGTATTTGACAAATGGTAATAAGCAATTATTTGCCTTTCGGCGAGGCCGGTGCGAAATGCTTCTGGAGAGAAGGAAGTCGGAGGTGGTGCCAATTTAGGAAATTCGGCGAGAAGTCCGACCTCTCGCTTCTGCTACCGTCTCGACGGTGCCAATTTAGGAAATTTGGTAGAGAGGCACTAGCTTCAAGGCATGGTCTGCAACTTGAACACGTGGCAAGTCTCGACGCGCCGAGGAGAGCAGTGACTAGAAAAACAGCCTCGTCGACTTTCGCCTCTATCCCTCTCTAGGGAGAGAGATTTGTTACAAAAAAAAAAAGAAAAAAAAAAAAGGGAGAGAGATCTGTTATAGATGACTGATTTAATTATTTGTTTTGTAATCAATGGATTGGATGGCTGTTCCTCAATCATGTCGCATAATGCTCTTTACTGATTCAGATTCACTTTGCTATTTGTTACTTCGGTAGTCCTGAATCAGCAGCAGCTCACCGAGAGCATCAGCCATCTAGTAGAAGGTATATAAGACTTAGTTGCATTCAATCTTGAATAGTGGTGGCCGTTTCGTTGGTCAAGGTTTTCGGCAAGTGATGGGAAACGATGCAACAGCCCGTGACAGGACTCACGCCGTGAAGCTTGCTTCGATTTTAAAATTTTGGTATTTTTTTTCAATTTTTTTGGAAAAATGCGAATAATTAAAGTCTAGAAATTTCGACCGGCGTTTAAGCTGTGTCAATTTACCGTGATACGTGTCCACGTAGGGTATGCAGCGATTTCATCGGCAATAATATTGTACGGATCGCGAGCTTAGCTAAGTGGGAAAAAAAAAAAAAAAAAAAAAAAAGCTTAGCTGAGTAGATGACTGAAATCAATAATAATAGCATGCGGGTGATCCAAAGCGATTTTTACAACTTCAAGGCATGTGTCGTTGGCTTCGCGCGATTTTTTTTTTTTTATTATTTATTTTTATTTTTATGCGAAGGCTGGGCTGCTATTATCGTTTTTTTTTTTGTTTTTTTTTTTTGCTATTATCGTTTTCTCTTTTCTCTTTTCTTTTTTTCCTTTTTTCTTTTTCCTCTTCTTCCTTTTTTCATCAAAGGGCGACGGTCTTGAGACATCATCATTGAGCTGACCGGGGCCCAGGGAATTCAGAAAGATTTGGTTTTACTCATCAGGTTCCATCATCTGGGTTCGAACTCGGGTCTGTATTTCAACAGTCAATGGTGTACTCTCTTGTTTTTTTTTTTTTTTTTTTAAACCTTACTACTGAGAACTTCCTGATTCCCGGGGTCAGGTCTCATCAGCGAAGAGGACTGGACTAAATTCCGGAATCTGGATGTGTTTTGCGCAGAGATGCAGAAAAGCACATCAATTGCGATTTTCTGCATCTTTCCACAAAGAAGTACAGATGCAGGAAGTAAATCCAATCCTCTGTGCGGAAGGAAAGGGAAAAAAAAAAAAAAAGAACTTCTGTTCGTGATGGTGAATGTCGTACAGGTCGTCCCGTCTTCCCTCCTCCCACCATTCTTCGCGCATGCCTCNTTTTTTTTTTCTAATATTAAAGCCCTGGTTGTTGTAGAGACCGGACTCCGAACACACGGGGTTGCCGACACAGCTATTGGCTGTCCTGACACTCTCTTATTCACCGTAAGACCACCTCCTTACCCATCCTCTCGGCAGTTCTCCTAGCGCACCCCTATCCCTACCATCCTACCTCAGTATTACTACTCAGGACTATCACCATATTTCAGAGGGCGACTTGGACCAGACAGTAGTTCTAGGCACCGGGGCTAGGCTGTTATCACACCAAGGGTCAGATCCCACTACCCTGGATTATTCATTTTTCACCCTCGATTACGAAGATCAAAGGTCGGAAATGAACAATAGGGGCTAGTGGGATCTGGCCCTAAGTCTTTTTTTTTTTTTTGTCACTCAGAACAGCAGCCCGCGCTAAGTCTTAAGCAAACAACCAAAGGGTCTATCTCAATTGGTACACCCCTGAACTGTTGAAATGCAGACTCAAGTGCGTAAAAATGAATCCAGACACCTTCAAATGAAGAGAATAAAAGGCGCCTATCGCACAGTACCTAAAAAGAGAAGAACCAACAAAGTCCCTCGCCTTTAGGGCTTCGGGGTACCTGACCACAATGGCTGGAAGCGCCAGCCAAAAAAATATTGAAATGGTACCCCGGCGCTTCGGCGAAAATTGGCGCGCAGGGGTATTCCAGGCTCGGCATCGATAGCTGGGCCAAGTACTGGTGGTTTGAAAGATGGACACGGGTCGTGCGAGCGGGAAAAGCAAACTGGGACCCCACACAGGAGGGTTCCGGCGGTCTTTCCCAAGTAGGCGGGGGTAGGGGTCGTGTGGCCGGGAAAAGCAAACTGGGACCCCACACAGGAGGTTTCTGGCGGTCTTTCCCAAGTAGCGCGGCGGATTTCCCAAGTACCGCCGCAGATTTTTTTGGGCTTCCACCGAGACGGACATTCATGTGGTACGCCATATGGCCTGGCCTCCAGGGTGGACATTGAAAAGGGCGACTCATTTTTGAGGCAGCTTTCAAGGTAGGGGTAGGGGTGGTCGACCTTTGCATTTTGAGTAGCGCCGTTGGGCTGTTCATCACGGCCTATGCGCCACTTACACAACTTTTTTTTTTTTTTTTTTTTTTTTTTTGTGGCCCAGTGCCCAAGGCTTGTATTGATATTTGAGAACATTGAGGCTGGGGTCCTCACAGTCTACCCGGAGTAACCAACATTTGATGATGATGATGCTAAAACTGATGATTTTTTGCTAATCAGAATCATGATGTCTGACCAGTCGCACTCTAAGTACTAGCCAATAAGGAAGAGTGATCAGGAAGGCTAATCAGAATGTTCTCTACTCAGAACTCCATCATTGAACCCTATCCTAATTCCAGGCATTTCTACCAATTCTAGCAATTCTCATCTGATGCTGTGCTGTGTACCAATCCTACCTCTACCCAGTCTCACACCCTCTATTTA